ATGCAGAGGATGTGATGATGACCTTGGGAAACCTGAGAAATCTTTAAGTAGTTACATGGGAGAACCACTTCGTTTGATTAAAAAGAGTGAATTATCAACTATGAAAACTCAAAGCGATGGAAAAACACTTGTGATCGCTACAAGTCCTGGGAAAGCTTTAGGTGCACAGATCATTCAACAAAACCAGGAATCTGCTCCTGGTGGTCAACTATTTAGTGATACAAAGAAAGGTGGACTAACTTTTGAAGGTATTGCTTCGTCAAGTCAGGGTCATGGATTTTCTTTTGGGAAAACCTCAGGCTCATTCAAAGGATTTGCAGGGGCAGGTAGTCAGCTGTTTCGACATTCTGAAGATGATGCAGGAGATAACATTCATTTTGAACCAGTTGCTCAGTTACCTGAGAACGTTGATTTGTCAACTGGTGAGGAAGATGAAGAGATTCTATACAAAGAGAGAGCCAAATTGTACAGGTTTGACAACACTAGTGGGCAGTGGAAGGAGAGAGGAGTTGGAACATTAAAGCTACTGAAACATTGCAAGACTGGACATATAAGACTTTTAATGAGGCGTGACCAAGTACACAAAGTGTGTGCTAATCATCGAATTACAACCTCAATGAAATTGACTGAGAATGCTGGATCAGATAGAACATGGGTCTGGAATGCTATGGACTATGCCGATGAGAAACCAAAACTAGAACAGTTAGCAGTGAAGTTCAAATTCCCCACCATTGCTAATGAATTCAAAGATATGTTTGAAAAGTGTCAAGAAATGCTTGCAGGTAAGGAAGGACATTTAATTTCATCATGTAGAGCAGATCTTGAATATCTCATTTACTTTTGTTTGTATATGTGTTGTGTGTAGTGGTGTGATATGCAATGAACGTCATTCACAAGACAAACCTAGACTTCCAGAAATGTTAATGCAAATTAGTAAAAGGATCTGACTAGTGTTCATCTCATACTGTTTTCGATTGTGTTCTCATGCACAAATCATATAATACATGTATTTTGTGTTTTTGAATGTTGCAATAATTTTGCTCTCCTCTTTTCACTTGAACTTAATTTCGGCTTGTTATTTCATGCTAAATTTGATTTTTTTTACAATTAATGTTATATGAGGGTGATTATTACATTATTATTATTCATTCATAATAAATATTTTTTGTTGTAAGTTGTGTTTGAAAACAAGCCTTCATCACAGCAAGTGACTGACGCTAAGAAGTACAATTTACCTGCAACATTTTATTTATATAAAGAAAAACCTCCTTGTATCGGATGTCGAGGCTGTCAAATTGCCTGATGACTGGGATAGTTGGACTGATAGACTTAACAAACCATTGTATCTTGATGATAGTCATACAGAAACACCAAGACCAGATATAATGGTTCATTATTTGTTTTAACAAATAATACATGTAATTGTTACCATAACATGCTACAGCCAATAACAATTGAATTTAGAATTACAAATACTTACGCTTTCTTTAATTATTTTGATTTCTAGAATCTACAATGAAAGGAGAGAAAGATAAATATTTTGACAGCTCCAATAGTGCATCATTTGGTCCTGTGGCATCAGAATCACCAGATGGTTTTCTATTTGGAAAGAAAGGTAATACTGTGGAATACTTTATTTTCGCTGGAATAAATTTTCGCTGAAAAGGCTTTTTGGGCGTTTTGTATGGAATTTATTTTCACTGATTTTTTCATGAGTTTAATGTGAAATATAGGAAAAAAAGTATATTCGCTGGATTTTATTTTCACGGAATCATCCCTTCAGCGAAAATAGTAAAAATAAATTCCAAGCAAAGATAAAAGTATTCTACAGTACTATGTGGCAGTTCGGCCTTTCAACATCCTGTAGATGTGAGGTGTGAGTTATTTTATGGCATTCTCGATGTCATACTTAGACACATACACCCACATAAACTTGTCCGGTGTAGAATTCACATTTCAAACAGAAACTATCCTTGGTATTCAATTATGGTTCCAAATGATATATGGTGGATGTCCTATGTGGGGCAGGATGTGCTCACTCTGTACGAAAAATCTGGTATCATTGTATTGTATAGCATGATGTCAATATACTTGTACCTTTCTTTGACTTATTGACTGTGTGCATAATGTCATTGTTGATTGTTTGCCAGTTATTTGTTAGCTTTGCCGTCGACTTAGTCAAGCGAAGCTTATCATACGAGTTATTGTCCGCCAGCGGCTGTTGTCCATTGTCGTCCGTATCAACTTTTTACTTATTTGACTTCGTCTTCAGAACTACAAGCCTGAATGCTTTGATACTTGGTGTATATGTACCTTGGGTAGACCTCACTTGGATTTATTCATTTCATGATGATATCTTTAATTCTCTAATTTTAGGGAATATTTTTGTCATTGTTGGTAAAAAGAATATTTTCTAGTTGCTTTGATATTAAGCATAGGTACTACAGGTGGACGTCTCAGATTTGTCGATTTTCTGAAGATATCTTTAATCCTTTAATTAAAATGTGAATTGATAACAGTGGAGCTATCTCCGCCGTGAGGCTGCTTGTTCTGTTAATACCAATATTATTTTGCATATTTGTGACTATGACTTACTGCAGTACACATGTAATAATATATATATATGTATAGAATGGATGCATAAAAAGAAATAATTCAACATGATTTTTTTGAAAGTATTCATGTAGTATTCTAGCAGTTATACTTACAAATTATTATAAACTGAACGTTTTCATTTCTAGATCCATCTTTTAAATTTCAAGGAGCTGGTAGTATGTTGTTTGGTTCTTCGTCTCCTAAGACATCAGATGCAGAAGGAGATCAAGTTGTTCCC